AGAGCAGAGAGAATTTCCTTCAGTTGCAGGAGAGGCCATTCCTTCCATTTCAAAATAAAAAATAGCACGTGGGATGTTGATGGTTAGTGCTTTTTTTTTTTTACTTGCATCACTGCATGCTTTTGAGACTATGTAAAGGCTGCTGATGACAAAATTAATGAGAATGATTTAGAAAAAAAATATCTAAATAAAGTGAACCAGAAAAAAAAAAATCAGTTTACCCCAGACGGTATAATGATTACCCTGCGGGTGGGGGAAGGAACCTGTAAATTAATCTGCAAGCCCTTTGCTCCAGGGATACCTTTTATATCTGCAGCCAGCCTCAGGTCTTCTTAAAATTAATGCTGATCTGATTGCCCACACACAGCAGCTATCTTTCTGTGCTTTAAGATACAGGGGAATTCGGCCCAATGCGGTATCCTAGTGGCTAAAGTCCTCACTGGGTGCAGGTTCTAATTCCTGCGGCCCTGCTTCCCAGCCAGCTCCCTGCTTGTGGCCTGGGAAAGCACTGGAGGACGGGCCAAAGCCTTGGGACCCTGCACCAACATGGGAGACCAGAGGAGGCTCCTGGTTCTTAGCTCCTGGCTTTGGTTTGGCACAGCTCCAGCTGTTGCGGCCACTGGGAAAGTGAATCATCGGATGGAGGACCTTCCTCTCTGTCTCTCTGACTTTCCAATAAACATAAAATAAATCTTTTTTTTTTAAAGGTACAGGGAACTTGTGCATTTTTGTGATAAATATGATTAGGTTTTTTTACCCTAAATTTATTAGCTACCAATGCTTCCTTATCTGGTTACCCACATTCGCTTTTCCTATTCAGCTGATAACGTAGAAAAAGAAATGTGATGTTAAGATCGGTAGCAGGGTGCTTCCATTTGGAAGGAAGGGAGAGAAAATCTTTCCTTAAGCCTTGTAAGCTTAGTGAGAAGGGCAAACACCTGTGTTTACAGTATCAGTTAACCCTGCTCTTTAGAAAGTTGTCTTAGATAGCATGCACCGGGAGAGGATTTAACAGAGTTGTTGTGAGGATTGGATGAAAGGAGAAACACCTGACAGATCCTCTGGCAAATGAGGATGTGGCCTTTTGCTCGATGTCTGTTCACCTCCGGGTAGATTTCTAGTCTTTCATTATTTGTCTGCAAGCAACTTTCCTATCACTTACATATGATCAAAAAAGGAATTTGTAATATGCTGGAAGGGAGAGTTCTGATGCCAGAGTGCTTTGGGAGCATGTGAGGATGTTTGGAATGTTACAGAGATCACAGAAAGACGGGTAAGCAGAAGGGGGAGATGAGAGGGAAGGAACAGTGATTCCAGGGGAGTCAGAAGAGGTGCTTATTTCTCTGATAATGTTGCCATTCTCTTTGACCCTGGTGCCTGTTAGGAGCCCTTGATAGATCCAGCTTCCTAAGCTCCAGGTTCTTCTGTTTCTGGGGCTCTAACTTCATGTTGTGTTGACGGTTTGTGGTGTAGACACGTTAGGTGTTGAGGTCAAAACTGCAGGAATGTGTTGGACAGACCTGGCTCTTGTTTATCCATAGGAGAAGATGAATGAGATTAAGATTTGGGCCTCAGCCTAGTGACTGGGTGATTGCAGATAGTGTAGACGATAATTCCTTGGCCTCTTGAGTTGTGCAGTCTAACGTGGCTACTGTTGGGAACTCCTGCATACTCCACTAGAAGTGTGCAGTGGGTCTTATACTTGTGAAGCATTCAGTTACCATCAGTAGAGTATACTGACACACTGACGCACGGGCTAGTAGGGCCCTGACTTTTGCTAGATCGTACATTCATCATTGATTTTTAACCAAGTCTGGATCAAATTGGATGAGCCCAGATTGTATTTCTGGCATCAGAATCTTATCATTGGAGTTTGCCAGGGCACTTGAATAAATTGCAGCTCGGTAGAAAGGTTGGGAACAGTGACACATACCCTTTCTGAGCTCAAATGTTAGCCAATGGGAGACTGGGAGTGAGAGGATGGAAATTGGCAGGTTAATCTGACAAATTTGTCTCCTAATGGTAGGCTATTACTCTGCTTATATTGTTAGACAGTCTGTTCTTAAATTGTTTATTTTAAGCAGTGGGTGCCAGCTTATCCCAAATATAATTGAAAGGAGATAGATACTAAGCTTTTATTTTTTTAAACTTAGCTTGTGAGGTGTGGCGCTTGAGGAGGAGGACTATACTTCGGCATGACAAACCAATGCTTTGTGAAGTACTTCACTTTCCTCAAGTCTTATCTCAGGAAAGATAAGTCTCCCTCTTTTTGAAAAGGTTTATTTATTTTTATTGGAAAGGCAGATGAGATTTGCAGAGAGAAAGATAGACAGAAAGAGCTTCCATCTGCTGGTTGACTCCCCAAATGGCCACAATGGCTTGTGCTGAGCCAGTCTGAAGCCAGGAGCCAGCTTTTTCCAGGTGCCAGGTCCCAAGGCTTTGGATCATGTTCAACTGCTTTCCTGGGTCATGAATTGGGAGCAGGAAGGGAAGTAGGACAGCTGGGACATGACCTGACACCCATGTGGGATCCAGCGCTTACAAGGTGAAGATTTAAACATTGAGCCATCGTGCTGGACCCACCTTCTGTATCTCTTAAACCATCCCAGGTTGTCCTTTTAAATAAAAATAAATGAATACGAACCTTAATACTTAGGTGAACATGCTTGGGTTTTGAAATAGTTGATGGAGAATTTTTACTGTAAGCATATATTTTTAGTGTTTCTTTTGTGGTTTTAGAACTCTTTTGAAGAGAGTAGGAAAGATTTTCTATAACAATCCAGTTTCATTTGTCATTTTTGGAGGAAAAAAAAGGCTTTTTGTAGAAGTTGTCAAATATTGTCATGTATTTAACAATGATTCTGAACCACTTGACTTGTAAATCCTGTAGGTATGTGACTTCTTGGCACTGTTCAACTTGGATCTTGTTTTTGGTCCCAAATAATGTTAGTCTGTGTGATTGTTTTTTCCTTACAATTGGGCTGATTTTTGTTTTAGTACCAGATTTTAGGTCAAGAATTACATGAAGGAAGAGCTCAAAAAGAACATAGTGTAAGTTAGTAATGTCATTATTTTGTTGGGAAATAAACCTTAAAGTACTACCACAGAAATATTACATTTTAGAACATAAACTATCGATTATTTCTTGGAGCACAAAAATATGTTTTATTTGCTTAAGATGGCAGGATAATGTGATATTACTAGCATAGACTTAAGAGCCAGATTGCTTAACTTAAAATTGTGGGCTCTGTTGCTTACTGGATACACGTCTATGGGAAGTTTCCTTTACCCTACTTGGTTTCTGTGTTCCAGTCTGGAAGTAGAGAAGCAGGCTAAATGAGTTTATTTCTGTAAAGTACTTGGAACAATTCCTGATCCGTGAGTGACTGAAAGTGTTTGTTATGGTGATTATTTCTATTTATTATCATTATTAAGATTTAGTCACCTGAAGTACACATCATTGAATCCTCCCTGAGTTTCAGACACTTTTCAAGGCTCAGTAAATCATTATTCAGACTCCCAATAGAAACAACTTTATATTACTGCAACATTTCATAACCAGTAGCACATTGTGATGAACTTTTTATTGGTAGTCCATTTGAATGAGGCAACTGAAAACAGATTTGCCTCTTCATTAAAAAGTAGTAAGCAGATGCTGTTTATTTGAGAGGAAATTAGCGGGAATAATGCAGACTATTTCAGGGCACTTCAACAAGTTCACAAAAATAGAACTAAAAGTTAAGCTTATTTTGGTGCAAACTATTTTGAAGTCCATGCATAGGTTTTCATAGTCTATGTTTTCCATGAACCTCAACACAGTGCCTACTAGAAACCCCCAAGACACTAATTCCTTGAATAAGAAGTGGAAAATCCGTTTAGGAAATGGACTGTCCCTAATCTCATTGAAGATAGCTAAGGGCAAAGAGCACATTTCAAGTCCACCCCTGGAGTGACTGGATAGGAAAGTGGATGGATGGGTTTTACTTGTTAAATGTAAGATTGCGCTTGTTTCACAGTACTGAAGAAGGAGATCCCAAAGCCTTTGTATGGGCGCTCAGGGCTTGCACGGCGTGCTCTCGGGCCCCTGTGCCAGTGGTCCTGCCCTTCCCGCACAGCCATCTGAGCACCCGTGCACTCATGATCCCTATCTGCAAACTGCAGTTACTTTTGGCATCACAGAGAGGCTGGAGGACAAATGGGAGAGAACACTGCATTATGTGAAATTCTTTCTTCTGTTCAGTCTGCCTCTACAACTCAGCTAGAATCTACTCCAGGCTGACCATCTTCAGCTGCCCTCTCCAGCCTCTGATTTCCTGGCTGAACCAGGCACCAGTCCCTCCCTAAGGGTCGCTCAGATTCTCCTCGTCTTTACCAGCTATCTGTATTTCCAGTTTGTTTTGAATTATTTGGAGCTATTTTTATACATTCAGATTTCTTTTAACGCTTTCACTTATTTTTTTTCTATACGGCTTTCCAATTATTACTCATAGTAAAACTGTGAAAAACAATTTTACCACACCCATCACTCAGTATTTTTTTTTACCTGCTTTAGTGTGAACTAGGGAATATTTTGGAAGGAATTTTAAATGTAGCTTTGTAGTTTCTTGTAATCTAAAGCACAAGAACTTTCTGACATGAGTAACATAGTTAAGGACTTGCACACTATCCCCCAAACATTGAAAAACCACTGGCATTTAAGCTCTATAGAAATGAACTTGCTTAGAACTATCTGTGAACGCAGAAACATATTGTCTATGAGGTTTCACTCAGGAAGGTTGAGTGGAAAACAATAAGCTTGAAAGCCATGATTCTTAAAGTACTTTGAGGATCCGGTGCCTCCCTAAGATAAGTCTTTTAGGAAATCGACTTCTGAATTGTTTGAAGGGCAGACATGAATAGAGACTTTATAGAATTTGCTTGAAGCTAAACCACATCCTTCAGTTTATTCCAAACTTGTAGCAAGTAGGCTAGGTCTTATCTGACTACCTGGTATTTATGTTTAAAAAGAGTATTTTCATTAGCCTTTTATTTTTTTTAAATTTATGCCTCTGATATCTCTTTATTGATCCCGCATGAAGAGCAAACAGACCCACTCTACATGTAGCACTCACAACAGAAGCCTTTTTACTGTTATTATTATTGGAAAGTCAGATATACAAAGAGGAGGAGGGATAGAGAGGAAGATCTTCTGTCTGCTGATTCACTGCCCAAGTGACCACAAAAGCCAGAGCTAAGCAAATTGAAGCCAGGAGCCTTGACCTTCTTCTGGGATTCCCACACAGATGCAGGATCCCAAGGCTTTGGCCTCTCCTCAACTGCTTTCCCAGGCCAGAAGCAGGGAGCTCAATGGGCAATTACATAGAGGAGGATATACCCAGCACACATTCAGTCCATTCCTACTCTTATAAAGGTGACTGGGAGCATTGACTCTAAGATCTTTCCACATTATTTCAGGTTCATGAAGCAACCATTTGTAATATTTTGGGAGCTGCAATCCACTGAAAATATGGCCATCGCCCTTCATTATAACACTGTAGAGTGGTAGTGCAAGCAGAGACTGTAAGAGATTTTCCTCTAGTGATTCTTATGCTTTGGGATTAGACATTAGTGTGAATTCTGCTTAGGAACTGTCAAGTAAGCATGTTGAAAACAAAAATCCTACCTTGAAGATATTGTGCCGGCTGAAATAAACTGGACACAAAAGGACAAATAAATACAACAGTCTTCAGAAAAAGTTTATGAAAAACAACTTCAGGGTTTTAAAAAATTCCATACACCTTGAACATACTTAAGCACCCTAAAATTGTGTATGACTCCACCTATATGAATTCCCAGAGTAGTCAAATTCATAGAGACAAAATAGAATTGTGGTTGCTGGAGGCTCAGGGGAATGGCAAGTTGCTGTTGAAAGGATATGCAGTTTGCATTTGGATAATGAATGTTCTGATGTTGAATGGCGTGATGATTACCCAGCAGTGTGAATGTGCTATATGCTACCGAGTTGCATATTGCAAATGGCAAAGTTTGCACGTATCTGCCACAGTAAAGAATCCCACCATCTTGTAGCACCCGACTGTAAGAGCCGGAATGGGTATAGAGCAGTTGGGCAAGGCCACTGTTCTGTCAGGGCAGGAGGTGGGCAAGTCAGGTGGGGCCAAGGAATCACCAGTGTGCATGAGATCTGCCACTGATAGGAGACCTGATAGGGGAGCATGGGGAACTCCTCTGTCAGGACACAGTCCCTGCATTTGAGTACAAGAAACAAGGCTGGGAGCAGCCCCGACCAAGCCAGGTTACAGTACCCACTGGCATGTGTGGGTCATATCTGGGGACAGGCCAGGCTGGCTCAGTCATAACACCCACTGGCATATGTGAGAACCAGGACGGGGTACAGGACAGGCCAAGTTGGGGCACACCACCAGCCAGTTCACATTAGGGTTGCGACTTGGACCTGGCTGGACTGGGCAAGGCTACAGCACCCACCAGCATGAGCTGGGAGCGGGGGCAGGGGACAGGCCAGGCTGAGCCAGGCTGCAGCAACCCTTGTGGATGCCGAGGTGAAGCGAGCCATGCCAGTCTGGGCCACAGCACCCACCAGCACACAAAGGACTCAGGATGGGAGGTGAACCTGGAAGAGAAGCTGCAGTGGCTTCCCTGCTGGGCCGCTGCTCCTGATGTGGTTGGGCTGCTGGGAGCTGTCCTTTACCCTTCCTCCCCACTTTCTCCAACACAGGAAGAAAAAGAAAATTTGGAAACAATTGTCTCATCCACTTTCCCCTGTTCCTTGACCCTCCCAACCCTAATTGGTGGTTCACATGGGCGTGCATTGCTCTCAACTATGTAAACATCATCAAAGACAAAATGAATTTGTCATTAAAAAAGATTCCCATCATCTACTTTCTTTTTTTTTTTAAAGATTTATTTCTATTATTTTTTATTGGAAAGGTGAATATACAGAGAGGAGAGACAGAGAGGAAGATCCTCCGTCCGATAATCCACTCCCCAAGTGAGCACAACGGCCGATGCTATGCCGATCCGAAGCCAGGAGCCTCTTCCGGGTCGCCCACGTGGGTGCAGGGTCCCAAAGCTTTGGGTCTTTCCCGGGCCACAGGCGGGGAGCTGGAAGGGAAGCGGGGCCACCGGGATAGAACCGGTGCCCATATGGGATCCCGGGCATGCAAGGCGAGGACCTTAACCACTGCACCACCGCTCCGGGCCCCCCATCATCTACTTTCATCACTGTTGCTGAAACGAAAGAACATTTTTATTTCAAGAAGAAAAGCAGGATATAAAAGAAAGAAGGGAAGAAGGGAGGAAGGACAGAAAAAAAAGATGTGAGAATAGTTGATTGCTGAGTTGTTAATAACCCTTATTGTAATTTACTGGGTTGGGGAATTTTTTTCAGGAGGAAAAGTCAATGTGTGTTGGAAAGTGAACCAGCACTTTCAAATCCAGTAGCATCGGTGTGACTGTACCATCAGTTTGACTGTACCATCAGTGTGACTACCATTCCTTATAAGATTTCTGATACTAAGACAAGAAAGATTGTTAATTTGTGTTTGAACTTTGTCAGATGAGTTTTATTTGATCTGTAGACAAAAATTCTGAACTTCTGAGCCATTTAATGTTCTTTGATTTTCTTTTTTTCAACTTGCTTCTTAAAACTAGTAAGCAGTGCCAAGACACTATTGCATTTCTCTTTTCTGTGTCATAACTGTCAGAACAAATAGAAGAAAAGGGTGGGGGAAAAAAACTTTCATCTCAAGTTTCTAACAAGAAGGTGCAGGTGCTCCCTGATGCAACACTGTTTGACAAAACCACGGCTGAGCTTCTGTCCTCCTCCGGGCATTGATAACCTCTCTGCTATCTCAACAGTATCAGAGGATTGAATGAAAGGTTGTTTCTTGTCTTGATTTTGGAATATTACAGATTTGTTTTTTTTTTTTTTTAAATTGTGATACCTACAGAAGGAAAGCCGAGGAGTTGACTACGGTTGTTAAAGGGGAGAGTTGTAAAGTTTCATTGAGGAAAAGGATACATTCAAGATGAAAAGGATACCTTGTGGTCTGGAGCGTCTCGGCGTAGGACAAGCAGACTATAGATGTCCCAGCCTTGCTGGAAATGCAGTCACTTTTCCAGCGGCTCTCCCATGAGCTTCACAGAGCTGTCCTCTGTGTGAGCCTCCAGCTCAGGGAATGAGAATGATTTAAATGCAGCCTGCACAAACCCCAATATTATTGGTGTAAAACCCACCTCTAAGATCTGCCACTACTTCCCATAGAGGAAAACGTGTGTCATGATCTGAGCACCTACTCGCAGGCCTTCGTGCCTCTTGTTGGCTGTTTCTCATCAGTTTGCGAATTCTGGGAGGTGGTTGATTTTGAGAGTAGCAGTTGCTGTGTTGAACTTTTCCTCATCGTGTTTTTTGCCCATATGTTGACACTGTTATTGAAACTATGCATTAGAGCGTGTCTCAGGTTTGTGATGTGTTTCCATCGCTTGCCTCCATGGTTTCGTATAGTTTAACAGTTTTAAAATAAACCTGAAGAAGAGGCAGATTTATACACACAGGTTGAAAGAGGACAGTATCTAAAGTTGTAAGATTCATTTCATTTTAGATTTGTAGGCATTTAAACTAAAATGAAAAAATGATCTAATGTCAATTTTCTTTAATCACCTTTAAGTCCATGCAATAATATATTAGACTTTAAGCACTTCTTGTAAGAAAACAGTAGATAACCTTTGAATGTCCACTAATCTATTTTGAGAAAGTGTTCTCTTTGCTGAGACAGCGTGATTTCCAACAGGGAAGTCACCGATTCATTTAGTCCCAGTCTTATTGAACACTTGAGCCAGGCATACACTCTTCATCGGTGAGTAACACCTCGATTTTGCAATCCTGACTCTCCCATGCCTTCAAAGATACATGTGAACAACCTTTTAACTCACTGAAGTGCACTACTCAGAGTATGCACACAGTCAGTAAGACGAAGCATGACATCAGGACTTTTTGTTGAATTAAGGAGGAATAAGAGATACTTAGGATTTCTGTTCAGTACATAGAAAATGATCAAATGGGAGAAAGGTGAGGGCCTAGAAGACTTCTTGGGGAGACTGACTTCATCAAATAGATTAGTGCTGCCTTGGCATCCAATGCCAGTGTCTGGTCAGCTGTTGTCTCTGCCTGTCAGGGTTATCAGTCTCGTTGTAAAGGGCTCAAGTGCCACCTTTCCTAAGTGTCGGTGCTGTAAAGTGAGCACCTTCTGTTCATATCTCAAAGACACCTCCACAATAATGGTCAGCTGGCGGGTTCTATGGAGGATCTTCAGTGTTGTCCCCGATAACGCTAGGTGATTTTATTTCAGAGTCCTAAGAATTGACATTTCTGTCAAAATACAGGAGTGTCTGGGGTAGGAAGTTCAGAGCCATCAGCTTTCTTTGGAAAATATTTTTCCTTTTCAATTTTATGGCTGTGTTTAAAAAAGGATGTTAAGAGCTTTGGTTAGTTGATAGATGGGTCTGTGTTTTTCTTTCATGATGGCATACAGTTCTGTTCAGCAAAGACTGAAAGAAACCACCCTTTGTGTTGTTTGACCAGCAACTTTACTAACATGAGCAGTCTCTACATCCAGGTCTGGGCTGTGGGGATTGGAAGTAGAGCTCCGGGCGGTCTCATTTGCTTTCTCATTGAAATGATCAGAGTTCAGATGCTTTGTGGAAAAGGAGGGTGCATCTGTATGCAGTACTCCCCACTGCACAGTCGCTCTGTGCTGATAGGCCAGTGCCAGCAGCCAGCACCGATTTAACGTATTTGGAAATTATTTATTCTGAGTCATGAGTTACTTTTCTTAGCTATAGTTGTTATTGAGACTGTAATGTCTTGGCAGCCTTTCATCATTTTTTTCCTCCTTCTGTCTGGCTCATGTTAGTGTGTATTCACTCCATCTCACAAAAAAAAAAAAAAACCCAAACAAATCTGAGTTCCATAGGACCTACTTGGCAGCTGGCAATGTTTGAAACTGTCGCATAATTTCTTTATTGAAATTCATGGTAAATATGCTTGATCTGGAACTTCAGCTGCTATTCAGGTACTGCCACACTCAAGCTGAGTCACCCTGGGCAGAGTT